TGTCAAGTTATCTTTGTGGAAGGAAATACTCTAGTTCAAAAAGCTTGATGTCACAGCTTTCTTAGACAATTTTTTAGTGGTTGGAAATCGGTTTCGATGTCGAAAAATTATGGAAACATTCATAATTTTACTTGGCTGGGATCACTAATCATTAATTTGGAACAGATATGCTAATTGTCTTCCTTAAAGTGAAGTTTCCAATTAATACGATGAGTCACCGCGCAACGACCTTGAGTGCTACATTTAAATCAAAAGCGAATAAGAGGCCAATGCGCCTTGCATATCTGTTATTCAGATTACATGATTACGGTTGTGAATGTGAAAGACAAGATGAATATGAAGATTGACTGGTTTTTGTTTTAGAGTTGAAGATGTAGACTTTCTAACATAAATCAGCATGCATTGTGAGCTAAAATGTTTTACTTATTATCTCCTTCCATTTTCTTCATCTAGTATACACAATTTAAAAAATTGTAAACACTATAATTTAATAAGCCCCATTTGAAATATCAATTATTAAAAGATAAACATCTATGGGAAAGACAGTTTACTTTATAGTAATACAAAACAGTTTACTTTAGAGTAATACAAATAGTATTTTTATTTTAATCCGATTTAATTCCAAAATGAAGATAAGAGTATGTTAACCTTGTGTGGGGTGAATGGTTTCTTTCATCAAACGCAGTCTACATCCAAACTGTCTAGGATTTAAAACAGGTATTATATACAAACAGCCATATAAACAAAACGTTCGTAACTAATGCTCAATAGGCATACTGGGCCCATCTGAAGAAAGGGATACTGATTTCATTAAATACTGCATAAACCTCTTTACGAAGTTATGTACTCCCAAGAAAACCCAGGAGCATAGAAAATAATTGAAATGATTATGTTGAATTTTGTAATGAATAGACCAAATCGGATAAGAATTTCATTCAGCGTGTGTATTTTCATGAGTTGGCTACTGTGTATTTGTCATTAGTGTCTGTTGTCTTGTTAAATGTTCACACGTTTAGCTGAATATTAAGAAAATGAATTTATGAGAACTGCGCATAAACATCAACTTCATATGACAATTGACACTGGTGACAAATATACAGAGAGCCAACTTCGAAGAAATATATGTACTCCATGGACAAAATAAACATCATCTACATAATATGACAACAGACATTAGTGACATATGTAGAATAACTAATATAGAAAAAGTACATGTGCTCCAAATAAAATTCTTATCCGATATGGTATATTTTAAATTTCCATGGGATGTGTACTGAATAAACAATATACGCACGGTACCTATGTCTCAGAAAGTTGGTACCATAAGGAAAACTTACTATAAGTACGATGTTTGAGGCGATGGTTCAAGCCCCAGGCTGAACGCTCGATTTTTACTTGCTATCGTCCAATCCGTGTTAGAAATCACACGTTAAAAGGTAAGACCTCGTTAGTCCTTAGCTCGCACAAGTTTTGACTTCTGAGGGCTGTCGTTCGTAGGGGTGCGAGAGCTGGTTAAGGAAAAAAATATTTTTTCAAACCATTTCAAACATATATTAAATACATTAGGGATCTGACATATATTTGAATTTCAGATCACTTCATAGTTCAATGTAAAATAAGAGTTTTTGATAAGGAGCGGATTGAAAAAATGTGTACCTACATACAGGAATTTTAAAAATTTTAATGAAAAACTTTTTCAGAGAGACTTATACAATATGCCATTCTTCCAGATTTACGATCAAGAAAGCATTGATGAAAAAATTTCTTTGTTGATAAATATCCTTCATAATTTATTTGATCGGCATGCTACTTCTAGAGTCACCAAACCCAAAGCACCCTGGCTAACGTTTAACATGAGGCAGATAATATCTACTAGGGACAAAGCACTGAGAGCATTGAAAAGAAAT